TATACATATATATATATATATATATATATTATATATACATATATATATATATATATATATATATGTATATATATATACATAAATGTATGTACATAAATATGTACATACATACATATATATATATATATATATACATATATATATATATATACATACATATATATATATATATGTATATGTATATCTATATGTATATTTATATATGTATACATATATATGTATATACATATATATATATAAATATATATTCATGATTTTACGATAAACAATCAATTTTTACCGATTAAATTAACTGACACATTTATTGGATCGGTCAGGTGCGACCCAACCAGTGGGTGAGCTCATGGATTATATATGAGTTGGATCGGGCTACTCGATCAAGTCCCACTTAAATTACAGAGTACAGATATGATTCATCTTATGTTATCTTACATTATACTAAATCAACCTTATGTTACTCCATTTTGGATGGAAACACGAGATAAATTAACCAAACCAAGCCGTCCTTATAAAGGCGGGATGTGTTGGTCAACACTTTTCTCCATTTTAAATCGAAAGTCAACTCCATTCTCGATCGGCGGATTCACGATGCGTATCTCCCGACTCTGCCCGTTGGGATTTGCTGTGAGAAGATCAGATCGGATTGGGATTTGTTATCTCAACCCAATTTTAAATTGGGTTCGGGCGGAACAAGAAACAAATCCGATTGGACTCGGATTCAATGTTGCGGGGTGAACCTGAAACCCGGCCGATGATGATGGCTCTATTTCTTGGCATATAATTAACGGATCGCAGGAGATCAAATCTATTCTTAGTAGCTGCACCAAAGAAGTCGCCCTGCCCATGCCATGGTGGTGGTGTTGGATGTGAAGCCCAAGCCGGTCCAAGTCTTCTTCCGCGGTCCAGAAACCAGATCTGAACCCCTCCCCTCTCGCTGCGTCCCTCCCTCCTTCAGATCCAGTCTTCCCCCTCCCCTTCTTCTTCTTCTTCTCGCGAAGAGAAGCGAGGGACGATGGGGAGCAAATAGAGAAGCCACAGATCTCATCTCGATCCCCCGTCGACGCCTCCGTCTCCTCCCCCCCGTCGACGCCTCCGTCTCCTCCCCCCCGTAGTCGCCTCTCCACTCCCAGATCTGACCGGTGTCCCTTGAATTCGGGGGGAATGGCTTCCGCGGAAGCCGATTCCCGCGTCGCCCTCCTCCTCGTCCCCGCCCTCGAGAAGATCGTCAAGAATGCGTCCTGGCGCAAGGGCCACTCCAAGCTCGCCCACCAGTGCAAGTCCCTCATCGACCGCCTCTCCCACCCGCCTTCCTCCCCGCCACCGTCCTCCCCCAACTCCTCCTCCTCCCTCCCCGGGCCCCTCCGCGACGGCGGCGCTGCCGTCTACTCCCTCGCCGATTCCGAGACCTACCTCGCGCCCCTCGTAGCCGCCTGCACCTCTGGCTCCCCCCGCGTCGCCGAGCCCGCTATCGATTGCGTCCAGAAACTGATCGCTCATTCCTACCTCTACGGCGAGGCCGACCCCTCCGGCGGCCCCGACGCCCGCCTCCTCGCGGAGCTGGTCGAGGCCGTTTGTGGATGTTACGCCCTCGGGGGAGCCGAGGACGCCCTCGAACTGCTCGTCCTCAAGACCCTCCTCTCCGCCGTCACCTCGACCGCCCTCCGCATCCACGGCGACTCGCTCCTCCAGATCGTCCGCACCTGCTACGACCTCTATCTCGGCAGCAAGAACCCTGTCAACCAGGCCACCGCCAAGGCCTCCCTCATCCAGATGCTCGTTATCGTATTCCGCCGCATGGAGGCCGACTCCTCCACCGTCCCCGTCCAGCCCATCGTCGTCGCCGAGCTTATGGAGCCCGCCGACCGATCCGCTGCCGTCGCGGCTGCCGACGTCAACTTCGTCCAGGGTTTCATCACAAAGATCATTAGCGACATCGACGGGGTGCTTAACCCTTCGACCCCTCTCGCCAGGACTGCGTCCGCTAGCAAGCACGACGGCGCGTTTGTGTCCACCGCGGTGGAGAACACCAATCCTGCGGACCTGCTGGATTCGACGGACAAGGATATGCTGGACGCTAAGTACTGGGAGATCAGCATGTACAAGACGGCACTAGAGGGTAGGAAGGATGAGTTGGGTCCGGAGGTCCGGGTGGACAGGGATGACGACACCGAGGTTCAGATCGGTAATAAGCTGAAGCGGGACGCCTTTCTGGTTTTCCGGGCTCTCTGTAAACTCTCCATGAAGACTCCTCCCAAGGAGGCAGTGGTTGATCCTGCTCATATGAAGGGAAAGATTGTGGCCTTGGAGTTGCTCAAGATCTTGCTAGAAAATGCTGGAGCCGTGTTCCGGACTAGTGAGAGGTACTTGCTTGCTCATTGTTGCATCATTTCATATCCCAATTTATACCGCAAATTTTGTTTCCAGTTTCGATTCATCAATGCCCCATGTTTTCGTTAGCTGCACAGAGATTAATTGGTATCACACTGGTGGGCGACACATTTTTGTTTGAAAACTTGAATTGTCATTTTCGGATGGAGTGCTAAACAACTTTTTGAGATGATAAAATTTTTCTGGATATGTCAGGTCAATCTAGGTTAAGAGTTAAGCTACTTTGAGTCATCAAGAGCTCTATGTTTGAGTCTATTAAGCTAGCTTAAGATTTCATATTTTTAAGTCATGTCCGATGGATTTTATCATGTTATGGTTGGTGGATTTTAAAAAATTATCAAATATGCTCCTTTTGAATTCATCATTTAAGAGTTTACTGATGGCGACTCCACGATTGATATTCATTTTTTGTTTTGCTCCTAACCTTATGGAACTACTATTTAGGTGAGGTAGAGTTTCAGTTGCTTTTAGTCAAATTGAGTGATTGAGAAAACAAAGCATGGTGAGAAACTGATTGAGAAGTTTAAGTATTGATGCCACCTGCCTTTTTTTGTTTTATGATATTTCTTTACCTTATTTTCCTTCTTTCCTTTGTTATCTATAATACTTTCTTTCATATACTGCCTTCTTATTTAACTTAGAAAAGAATTGCTATCTTTGAGCACAGATCTAACTGTAAATGTCTTATTTTCAGGAAAAACTAAACCAAAAGAACTTTACTATCTCATGATAACCCAAAACAATCATTACCAATGGTATCAGAGCCTTCTTATCATTTGAAGCATAAATAACAATGTTGGTGGTGCCAACCCGTGCAGTTCAGCATGCACCATGTGTTGGCATGGTATTATGACCTATTACCCCTGACAACTTGCTCATACCACCTTTAGCAGGTTGCTTTTGTTTGTTTCTTCTTTGACTTTCAACTGTAGCTTAGATGACCATTAATGGAGAAAAACTGATTGTCACATCACTGCCTGGGGAAGGGATCTCTGTAGCAGTAATGAAATGGTGTAGCCAGGCTTCCTCTTGGTCTAGGTTTAATTTCTAGGAGGTATAGGTGTATTTTCCTATTACTCAGATGCTTTGGAAAGGCATCCACTCAAATTATTTTGTTGTCTTTTATAAATCTACGTCTGATTATGGTTACTTGCAAAAGAGTAGGAATCAGCTGGGAAGCAAAAGGGGACCAAGAAGGTTGAAGTGTTTCTCAGATAGAATAGAAACATAGAGTTTTGCAGGCTCCAGGTCTTCATATGTTACTCCCTTTCTCCTGTTTGTTTATTTTATCCCTGATGTACTTGGTTAATAAGTAATAGGTTTTACCCCAAATCATGCCATTAACCTTGGATCCTCATGATGCAGAATCATAAATTGAAATAGCCCAATGCAAAAGTGGACCAAGATCCAGTTACAAATCTTAGGCTGCAATTTTACTTCATCACCTGCCCTAGAAGAAGTTTTCCAAAGCCTTTTTTTAAGTTCTCTTACTCGTGTGGCATTCCAAGTGATTTCAGTTTTGTGTTTAAAAAGTATGTTGCATCTTAAAGAAGCCTCCAATCTGAATAACCTGCTTCCTGTCTGAAAAGACTAAGGAATTTATATGGCTGAAGGTTAATCTCAACTTTCAGATTCAAATACAACATCAACAATTTATATTTTTGAGGTCATGTGTCTGTTGATATTGTTACATGCTTGTAGATAACCTAATTAGCATCAATAATTCACTTATTTGTAATTGAATATCAATATTGCTGCTGAATCTTTTCTTGTCTGTCAAACTCAAACTCACATAACTTGTTTGAATATCATATCATACTGGACCTACATGCCTGGATCTGATGAACTCCTTTCAATCAAGCAGGTTTCTAGGCGCTATTAAGCAGTATCTATGTCTATCTCTTTTGAAGAACAGTGCTTCAGCCCATTTGATTGTTTTTCAGCTGTCCTGTTCTATTTTTATGAGCTTAATATCAAGATTTAGACCAGGATTAAAGGCAGAGATTGGAGTGTTTTTCCCAATGATTGTACTTAGAGTTTTGGAAAATGTTGCTCAACCAAATTTCCAGCAGAAGATGATTGTGCTTTGTTTCTTCGAGAAGCTGTGTGTAGATTCTCAAATCCTGGTGGACATATTCATTAATTATGATTGCGACGTCCACTCTTCAAATATTTTTGAAAGGTACGTTTGCTTCTTTTTGACACGTTTGGGAAATCAGCTAACATTTGCAATGCTGGATACCCTTCATTTATGGAATACCATATTAATCAATATTCTAGGTTTAAACTTTCAAATGCTGTTAAACATTTGTATCATATCAAGCTTCTTTGTTTCATTAGGATAGTAAATGGTCTGTTAAAAACTGCTCAAGGACCTCCCCCAGGGGCTCCTACAACACTGATACCACCACAAGATACTACAATGAAATTCGAAGCTATGAAGTGTTTAGTGGCAATTTTGAGGTCAATGGGAGATTGGATGAACAAACAGTTGAGAATTCCTGATCCTCAGTCTCAAAAAACAGAAACAATTGATGGCAGTGGTGACAGTAATGAACTTACTTTGGCAAATGGCAATGGTGATGAGACGGCTGAAGTAAGTGATTCTAATTCTGATACCCCAAATGGAACATCAGAAGTTGCATCTATCGAGCAGCGTAGGGCATACAAGCTAGAACTTCAGGTAATTTTCCGACATGAGTTTAGTTTCATGAAAACTACGTTGTTTAGTTGTTCTTTTATGATCTAATGTAAGTATAAATTACAGGAAGGGATTTCGCTTTTTAATCAGAAACCTAAGAAAGGGATTGAATTTCTTATAAATGCAAAGAAGGTGGGTGATGTGCCTGCTGACATAGCTGCTTTTCTTAGAAGTGCATCAGGCTTGAACAAGACTCTGATCGGTGATTATTTAGGAGAGAGAGAAGATTTATCCCTGAAAGTCATGCATGCATATGTGGATTCATTTGATTTTCAAGGAATGGAGTTTGATGAAGCAATTAGGTGCTTCCTAAAAGGTTTTAGATTGCCTGGTGAAGCACAAAAGATTGATCGCATCATGGAAAAATTTGCTGAGCGCTATTGTAAGTGCAATCCTAAAGCTTTTACAAGTGCAGATACAGCTTATGTTCTTGCTTACTCTGTAATATTGCTCAATACGGATGCTCATAATCCAATGGTGAAAAACAAGGTTTGTTCTTGATTTGCAAAGGCTCATTATTTGCTTAAATTGTTGGTAAGTTATGTGGTCATAATATTAATATTGTTGTTGATGCAGATGTCACCGGATGACTTCATAAGAAACAATCGAGGTATAGATGATGGAAAGGATCTGCCTGAAGAATTCTTGAGATCCCTATTTGACAGAATTTCCAAGAATGAAATCAAGATGAAAGAGGATAATTTGGCCCTTCAACAGATACAATCTTCAAATTCGAACAGAATTCTAGGCTTAGATAGCATTTTGAACATTGTGATACGCAAGCGAGATTCACCAACAGAGACTAGCGATGATATGATCAGGCATATGCAAGAGCAGTTTAAAGAAAAAGCTCACAAATCTGAGTAAGTGCCCAAATAAAAACCAATCACAACTTTTATTGTCTACACCTATATTTTGCCACTCTAAGACCACATTTAACATCGTAGTATTATATAGGACATGTGCAGTTTAAGTTGCTTACACTTTGTCTTTTAGGTCAATATATTACTCTGCAACAGATGTGGTAATTTTGAGGTTTATGATTGAGGTGTGCTGGGCTCCGATGTTAGCTGCCTTTAGTGTTCCTGTTGACCAGAGTGATGATGAAACTGTGATATCATTATGCCTTGAAGGATTTCGTAGTGCAGTTCATGTTACAGCAGTGATGTCTATGAAGACACAAAGAGATGCATTTGTTACGTCACTTGCAAAGTTTACGTCCCTTCATTCAGCAGCCGATATCAAGCAGAAAAATATAGATGCTATTAAGGTTTGCATTGACCTAATTTGTGTATAAATATTTCACATTTTTTATACTTTTCTCTTATCTTTATGTACTTTCAGTTTAAAGATAATGTCTTGATGCATTTCTGAGGTTGTTGCCCTTGATGTCTAATGATGTTTATTTATCATGGTTTGCATCTAAGTTTAACCATATATTCTTATGGTTTTGTTTAGGTTAGCTTCAGGAAATGCGAAAATCTTTGAAAAAATTTTACAAAACTATCAGAAAAATCTTGTAGTTTCGATATTACATATCTTTAGGTTGCAGTCATCAAGTTGAAAGCAGAGTTCATAAGTACTTCCTTTCTGTTGTAGGCATTTCCAGTGTTCTAATTGTATACATCACGTGTTGCTGCTCAGTTATTATGGTAAGTTTTTTAGAACAAGGGCACACATTTTTTAAGAGTCCACAAATTTCAATCTGAGACGGTGATGATTATAAAGAATAAGGGCCTTCCTATTTCTTTGCCTGTCATTTGTTTTCCTTGTCGACAACTTAAGCTTTTCTCATCATCAGTCAGCTTCATGACTGGGTCATAATCAAGATGTTGATATTTATTTAGTAGCATTTCACTGATTATATCTATGTTTTGTTGAATCCCACAGCTTCTTTAATTTTCCTACAGATTCTTTACACCCAACAACGACAATAGCAACATAAATGACAACAACAGCAGCAACAAACCATTAGAGCCGCAACTTATGAGAACAACCATATAAATGATGCGTTCTGCTGTTGTCTATTGGTTCCAAAATCTTTGTTGTTGGTTGATGGAGAAGATCATATACATACATCTAGGGTCATCTGTGTGATCTGCGAAATTGTGGGTTATCATATTAACTGTAGCAGGAACCTCTTATACATCTAGGCACTTCCCACATGGTACTTGCTTATTTGAAATTGTAATTGAAACTCTCAAAGCTACAAATAATTGTTAGTTCTCTAGTAACGATTATCTGTTAAATAATATGTCACCTTACTGGAGCCTGTCTGTTGCTGGTACCACCATGCTAACATGAGTATTTTGTTGCACCGCTATTTGATGCAGTATTCACAGCAAACTGGAAGAAAGAAAATCTAGAGACTAGTTCCTGGACATTCAGGCCATTACTTTTGGTGATTTTATGTGAAAGTAGGAATACATGTCTTTGTTTTTTCCTCGTGAATTCTGAAATTTATTGATGTAATTGACTGTGATTTCAATGGCTTTGTCGAGTAAATGCTTCGGTTAAGAAGATTTTTAAACAGAATTTTGTTTCTTGTAAAATTATTCCAGGCAATTTTACACATTGCGGATGAAGATGGTAACTACCTTCAAGAAGCTTGGGAACACATTTTGACATGTGTTTCTCGATTTGAACACTTGCATCTTCTGGGAGAGGGAGCTCCCCCTGATGCTACTTTTTTCACAATACAACAGACTGAAGTTGATAAAGCTAAACAAGCCAAGTCATCAATTCTTCCTGTATTGAAGAAAAAAGGACCTTCATCTATAGTTGCCAGAAGAGGTACCTATGACAGTGCTGGGGTTGGTGGCCATGCATCCGGAGCTGTTACATCTGAGCAAATGAATAACTTAATTTCGAACTTGAATTTGTTGGAACAAGTTGGGATTGCTGAAGTGAATAGAGTATTTATACGAAGTGAAAAGCTAAATAGTGAGGCAATAATAGATTTTGTTAAAGCCCTCTGTAAGGTTTCAATGGAGGAACTGCGCTCTACATCTGATCCACGGGTTTTCAGTCTGACAAAAATAGTTGAGATCACGTAAGAACCATGCCTGAATTTGCTTTTGAAATTTTCTCCTATAAAATTAGCACACTATCTCATTGATTTTGTTTGTACAGGCATTACAATATGGATCGTATCAGGCTTGTGTGGTCAAGCATTTGGAATGTGTTGTCTGAATTTTTTGTTACCATTGGCTGCTCTGAGAACCTTTCAATTGCAATCTTTGCAATGGATTCCTTGCGCCAGCTATCTATGAAATTCTTGGAGCGAAAAGAACTGGCCAACTATAACTTCCAAAATGAATTCATGAAACCATTTGTCATTGTTATGAGGAAAAGCAGAGCTGTTGAAATCAGAGAGCTGATCATCAGATGTGTCTCTCAAATGGTGTTGGCTCGTGTTAGTAATGTCAAGTCTGGGTGGAAAAGCATGTTCATGGTACTTTCCTTCTTTCCATTGATTTCAAAATTGATGGGGAGTTAGCATGGCATTTTTTTTTCAGAATATTTAGTTGTTGTCTCACATGTTCAAGCCCATCAGTTAACTAAGTGAATGATGTATTTTGCAGGTTTTTGCTACAGCATCATATGATGATCACAAAAATATAGTACTTCTGGCCTTTGAGGTCATTGAGAAGATTTTAAGGGATTACTTTCCCTACATAACTGAGACTGAAACTACCACCTTCACGGATTGTGTTAATTGCCTAGTTGCATTTAGTAATAGTAGGTTTAACAAAGACATTAGTCTCAATGCAATTGCTTTTCTTCGGTTCTGTGCGGCTAAGCTTGCCGAAGGAGACATTGGTGCCTCTGCAAGATTGAAGGACAAGGAGGCTTCTGGGAGTATTGGTCCGCCTTCACCTCACATTATAAAGGATGAAAAACAAGATCCTCCATCGATCATCAATAAGGATGATCACCTACACTTATGGTTCCCACTCTTAGCAGGTGAGACAGATTCCTTTTTGCTTATTCTAGGTTATCAAAAAAATCCTATGATACTTGTAAATGAACCTTTTACCAGGGTTGTCTTAAATATTTTCTTGTTGCTTTTGCAGGTTTATCAGAACTTACCTTTGACCTAAGACCTGACATCAGACAAAGTGCCTTGCAGGTGCTATTTGATACACTACGAAACTATGGTAATCATTTTTCATTGCCCTTGTGGGAGAAAGTGTTTGACTCAGTCCTGTTCCCTATATTTGACTCTGTAAGGCATGCCGTTGATCCCTCTGGGGCAACTTTGCAAGGACAGGGGTTAGAAAATGATACAGCAGAGCTAGATCAAGAAGCTTGGCTTTATGAGACATGCAAGCTGGCCCTTCAGCTAGTTGTGGATCTGTTTGTGAAATTTTATGACACAGTAAATCCACTTTTGGAAAAGGTCTTGACTTTGCTAACAAGTTTTATTAAGCGTCCCCATCAAAGTCTTGCTGGCATTGGCATTACAGCATTTGTTCGGTTAATGAGCAACGCAGGGTCTCTATTTGTTGAGACCAAGTGGGAAGTTGTGGTTCTGTCTTTGAAAGAAGCTGCTAAAGCTACTCTCCCTGATTTTTCATATATTTCATCTGGAGCTTATCTTGATAGCGCCACATCAGAAAATGGGAATTCTTCTCTGAGACAAGATAATGGTGAATCCAGAGGATCTGCAGATGATGATTTTGAAGGCCTTAGAGCAAGAAATCTGTATTTTGCAATTGGTGATGCCAAGTGTCGTGCTGCTGTTCAACTTCTCTTAATTCAGGTCAGTGTCTTTTATTCAATATTATTCTGATTGCCACTTGGTTTTTGGGCCTCTTTGGACATCATGAAAACATCCCATATAAATGCATAATGAAGCTTCGTTAGAGGGATAACATATTGCCTATCCTAACTCAAGGTATATTGCAAGAGCTTGGTTTTCATCTGTGCACATGTGTGCTTGTGTGTGCGAAAGGAATGATTATATGAGGGAAAAGACATAAGAAAAGAAAATATGAAGCAAAAGAAAGAGGAAAAAGGCTAACCAGCTCTAATGGAAAGTAAGAAAGGATTCATTTATGAAACTTCAGATGTTTTGAAATGCTCTATTTGTTTGCTTGCAAAAGTTCAACAATCTATATTCTTTTATTGGTTGCATCAATGGTCCTTTATAGATAATTCATATCATATGTAATATATAAAAGAATTTGACTACTAGATGGTTTAGTTCTTGTAGATATGCACAAGACAAATGTTATGTTGACCTTTTTCATGATCATATTAAAAAAAACATGATCATATTAAAGCATGATCATATTTAGAGATTAAAAAAAAACATGATCATATTAAAGCATGATGTTTTCTCTGCACAAGTTGTGGTACAACCAGCTGTACGTAGATTGATCTTTTAAGTATCTAACAACAATTTCATCTGCATTTATACTGTCTGATCCTTGTTCTGAATATGTTAGTCCACGTTGACATTTGCTATTGTTCTAGTAATATTGCTAAGCGAGTTGCTAACACTTGCATTCCAGAGATACTATGCATACTAGATTTTGTGCAAATTATTGTCAATAGATGGTCCGATATGCATATTGGGCAAGAAAATTCACCTTAGACTTTGATATTTGCAGGCTGTGATGGAGATACATAATATGTACAAAGCACAAATATCAGCAAAAAACACACTTATATTTTTTGAAGCATTGCACGTCGTGGCATGCCATGCACACAAGGTAAACAGTGACACTGACCTAAGATCTAAGCTACAGGAGCTTGGTTCCATGACCCAGATGCAGGATCCTCCATTGCTACGCCTTGAGAACGAGTCCTACCATTCATGCCTCGTTCTGCTTCAAAACATTGTCACAGACCGGCACCGTAATAGCAACTTAGAAGCGGAAGCAAGCCTGGTTGACCTCTGTAACGAGGTGCTGGAGGTGTATATTAGAACAGCGACGGGGCAGTCTGGTGAAGCTTCGACTGGTGCTCAACCAATAAGTCACTGGCTTATCCCAGTTGGTTCTGCGAAACGGCGAGAACTCGCAGCGCGGGCACCCGTTGTTGTGTCCACCCTGCAAGCTATATCCGGATTGGGTGATACCTCCTTGGAAAAGAACCTGGCTCGGTTCTTCCCCCTCCTAGCAGGTCTAATAAGCTGCGAGCATGGCTCAAGCGAGGTACAGTTGGCGCTAAGTGATATGCTTAGCACACGTGTAGGTCCAGTCTTGCTTCGGGCATGTTGACCATGCTTCGTGTGGTGCATGATTCGTTTCGATTTACTAGCTTTTCTTTTTTTTGGCTCCTTCATTGTTTACTTTGTTGGTAGTCGTCCATCTTTGGGAACTGATGCACAGTGTATGAAAAGGCAGGGTCAAAAGGTTTGATGTTGTAATCTAGCTTTCGAGGCATCATCGATCTATAGTCGTCACTGTGTCACCGTCTCTGATGTGAGTTCAGTCAAAGAGTTTCCTGTTTGGCTGGAGATAACTCGATAATTCTTCCCTCTTGAACTGCAGGCGACAGTGGTATGTAGTGGAACTATAGAGTATAGAAAAGAGTAGAAAACATAACATGGATAGGGTATTTATTGACAGATTACAAAATGTTTTTGCTGGCTTTTTTGGTAGGAAGATGCAGCGATATCTAATATTGCTTCATCTCTTTGTGCTCCCGTCCCGTCATGCTCTGCTTTCCAAAGGCGTTAAGCCTTCCCGGCCAAGCTCCGTGCGTTGCCGGCCTCCTCGTCCCAATCGATGCACGCCACGAACACCACCAACAACACGGCGCTGGCTAACGTGCCCACCAGGAAGCCCAGCAGCAGGCCGCCGAGGCCGAGTTTCGCCGTGAAGCCCATCACCACCGCCAGCGGCAGCGCCACCAGGTAAAACCCGCCGACGCTGGCATACATGCCTAGCCACGGCCTGGCGGTGCCCCGGACGATGCCGCCGCAGGCCGCCAGAGGGAAGTTGACCACCTCCACCAGCGCCATGAGCCGCATCATCTTCCTCACCCCGTCCACGACCCCCGGCTCGTGGCTGAAGAGGCGCCCCCACTGCCCCCTCGCGCTCGCCATCGCCGCCCCCCCCGTGAAGCCCGCGAGGACGCTGAGGACCAGCGACACGTAAGCCGAGTCGCGGGCGGCGCGGGGCCTGCCCGCCCCGAGCTCGTTGGACACCCGCGTGGACGCGCACGTCGCCAGCGAGAGCATCACCGAGTAGAGCAGGTAGTCGAAGTTGAGCACGACGGCGATGACCGACACCATGCGCCGGGCCTCGGGGAGCCGCCCGGTGAGCAGCACCAGGATCTCGTAGCACCACCACTCCAGGCACGTCGTCAAGCAGCAGGGGGCCGAGAGCTTGAGCAGAGTGGCCCACTCGGCCAGGCTTTGCTCCCACCACCGCCGCCCTCCCTCCTCCGCACACCCCCCTGCGCTGTCCTCTCGCCGCCTTCCTCTCTCGGTCACCACCACGTAAGACGCCAGCATGAGCACGACGGTGAGGTCCGTCAACCAGATGGCCGTCGACACGCCCTGCAGCCCCTTCGCCTTCGACAGCGCGACGTTGAGGGGAACATGGAAGGCCAGCGCAATGGCCGAGCTGAAGAGGGTGGGGAGGGTCACGCCCTGGGAGCTCAGATAGGCCTTGAGAGGACAGAGGAAGGACGTCACGGCCAGGTCAGGGAGGAGGTACGTGACGTACCTCCTCGCGAGGCCGGCGATGTCCCTCTGTTGCCCGAAGCGCAACAGGATCCTGTCGACGTTGAGCCACAGGAAGGAGATGGGGAGGGAGGCCAGCAGTAGCAGGATCGTGGCCATGAGGAGCGTCTTGCGCAGGAGCTTGTAGTTCTTGGCGCCGTAGGCCTGGCCGCAGATGGGCTCCATGGCGGCGCAGAGGCCGGTGAGAACCGAGAAGCCCGTGACGTTGGCGAAGGTGAAGCCAAGGGCTCCACCGGCCAGCTCGAGCTCCCCGAGCCGGCCGAGGAACGCGGTGGTGATGGCGGTCTTGGCGAACCACGTCAAGTTCATGGCGACCAGGGGAAGCGCGATCCCTCGCTGCGACCGGAGCTCCGAGAGGACGGTCCGCTTGATGATGCCGGCAGCCCATCTCGGCGAAGACGAAGGTAGTACTACCGCTGCTGCCGGGGCTTCTACTTCTATTGCCAGGGGTGGTGGTTTCATGGCTGAAGGATGAGTTGGGAGTGTCGTTTGGTCGGGTTCCGGTTCTTTTGCTCCTCTTGTAGGAAGACGATACGTGGATACTTTTGTGCATGGGAACCGTGAACTCATGTGGGGAGAAACAGAAAGCGACTGCTGCTTGTAGCCATTCCCCAAACATCGAAGTAGTAGTAGTAGAAACAGAAGTTTAGCTTCCATACTCTGTTCGGTATTTTGGTCATACATCACTTGTGGTTGAAATGTCCACAACTCTAATTCATCTCACTTCATTCATCAATCCTATAGTGTAGGAGGAGTCGTAACAACGCTGCTACCAAGGCGTACAGTTCCATCACTGTAATTTAACTATAGATAACCAACGGAATATTCTGCCTCCAGCGAAAAGGACATGATATAACAGAGCAGTTGAGAGAGATAAAACCTGGATGACGGGGGTGAGGGTGAGCTGAAGGGAGTGAAGTGACGTAGTGGGGTTGCGTCGCTGCGGAAATGCCCTGGTCATGTCTGTCCACCACCAATCCAAAAGACCCTTTCCCTCTTCCTTTCTGATAATATAATGAAGGACCTGGCTTCCACTCGAACCACTTCTTTCCGGTTGTGGCCACCCATCTTTATCCATCTAACCACCTTTCCTATCCCACCAATGAATGGTTAGTTAGGATCAGTCCACTAAGAGAGATTCTAATTCAAGCTCCATAGTGGGAACACCGAGGAAGGAATCGGGAATCGGGAATCGGATCGTTTCCTCCACATCAGACCATCATCGGATAGATAAAATGTACCGAGGACGATTCTTTCCCGTGGCTATCCGCTTCTTAGCTAGCATATGCTTCCCAGTGGAATGTTGGGTTCTTCTCCTTCAGAGGCATATTTAATTCGAGGCCTGTAGAGCACACCAATGTCATGCGTGAAGTAGTACTGAACACCACTCACGGTTGGATCATACTGTCAATACAAGACGGATTGATCCTCTGCGGTCCTCCCAGAATCAGTGCCAGTAAAATCTGCACTCACTATTTATTTTTCCTTGATAATACAATCCTCCACATGATTTCGCAGGTGTAAGTAAGATAAGCAACGATCAATTCTCTCTCCCTCACCCACGAACCCTTCTTCAAAAACTAGGACTGCTTTTTTGCTTTAACAATTTGCCGTTTTGTGCTTTCTTCGGTGGCATCGTCCTGCGCTCACTGTCGCTATTGAAATATGCCTAAAGCTGTGACCTGCATCTTCTTTAATCGGCCACATCTTACCTCAACTCTTTTGCAAAAGGATTTGAGAAACCACACGCAACTTCGTGGCTTTTCTGATCCCCATCATGATCAGGTAGCTGTGTAATGGAAATCTGCTGCCAAAAAAGGTAGAACATGAGAGGGAGGAGGGCATGTGGTTTGGGCAAGGCGAAGCCGTCTATTGCTGATGAAGATGAGTCTCTGCTCCAAAAATGATGAAGTGATTTCAAGGGAAAAGAATACTTGTGGAAAGGATCAGACGTTCAGAGCTCTATGTCTGTTTCGGTGCGGAAAACAAACTGTACAGCTTCCGATTGAGCGAGTGCCTTCCCTTTATGAACCTGTAATTTCAGAGAGGCAAGAAGTGGAAAACTGTCATTGCAGCGCAAGAAATTGCTACGCATAAAAGTCATTTCTCAGAGACAATCCTGTGCTTTTCGATGTGAATAAAGCAATGAATATATCAAAAGTTATTTTTTTCTCTATTAAATTACATGAAAATATTGTGGCTGAAATCTCTGCGAGCAAAAAAACTGTATCGAAAAAAGCACAGGGAAAACAGAATGGTGAAATGAGCACCAAGAAGATCCACCGAGTTGTAAAACCATACCAGGCTAACAGCATTGCACAGCTCTTCATAAGTAATGTGCTTGTCATTACCCATAATCACATGTATCAATCCTGCGGATTAATAAGTATCAACAATTTGCATCAGCGGATGCATAAAATAAGTCATTATGAAAACGAAAAAGAAAGGGAACTTACCAGGCAAAGTGCAAGATATACTCAGGGAACATCACCAGGTGAGCTCCATGTCTGTTCACTAACCTCAAAGGAGGAAAACAGGTCACTTTTTCCACCTTCACCAGAAGCAAGAATTATTGTCAAGTCATCGGGTGACTGCTGATATTTCTGGCCTAACATCCTACCCCTTTCTCTGTTCTCACCATTTAAATCTGAGAATTGCAAATAACATCTCTCATTACATCTACTTTGTTTTTCCTTCGGAACACCTGAAAAGAACTAAAACCGCATTAGGCTAACCCTAAACTTGGCATGAAGATGATACATACATTGATAGTTAATCAAGGAAATGGCATTAAATATACGGTTAAAATAGAGGTATAATGAAACAAGGATCACTCACCAAAGCTTCGTCCTTTCCTCTGGACACTGTCAATGGTGGAGGTCGGCTGTAAGCCAGCAGCTTGCCAGACACGTGGCATCCTGGGAACTCTATGAGAGCTATTTAGTCCTTGATACAACAGTAGGGCAAGCTGACAAAGGGAAAGAACTTAATAGCCTGATGAAATAGGATTAGATGAACTGGTAACTACATTCAGTTTGGTGTTACCTCTTTGTCACTCAAAGTTCATTGCAAAATTACATCAAGCAGGTAATTGTATAAGAATAGGGGTACTTCACCCTTTTGACAAAGAGTACATGGAGCTGGTTGATTGCTGTGCTCGATTCGCTTGAGTTGTGTTTGGTTAAACAAAACCAACCTGAGAGTAAAATGAACAAGTCACATCATCACTCATGACCTCTTTGCCCAAAGCTTTCACAAATTAAAAAGGAAATTCTTCCTTTAAATCCGGTACCATATGCTCATAGGCAAAATTATGAAAGGTTCAACTAACTTTGTGATGCTTTAAATCCAGAAAATAGTTAACTTAGTGACCTTTTGCTGAATTTTCTGAAACCTCTCCCATATTTTCTTCACCTGGAATTGGTGCCGCTTTGTGTCTTGGCAACATAACTTGTCATCTTTCCTTATGTTTGCTTGGTTGATTAACTAGCCTTACCAGCTGAAGATGATGGAGCAGGAGGCATGTTTCATCCAAAACCGATAATTTCAAGACAACAGGCAAATGTGAAGTTGAAGACTCCTTTATGAAACCCAGTGCCAAGTTCAATATACCAGGAATCAAGGCGTTTAAATCTTTGGATTTTGAGTTTGCAGCTTCATCAGAACCCTTTGAACCATCTTGTCTCCAGGCAGCCTATGTTCTGCTGAATCCACCACTCCATCATTATGCTTCTGAGGGTCACCAGTTCTTGAAGTTATTACTTCTTCAACTTCATTACACTCGCTTCTATCATCCTGAAACAATTCTGTGATTTGGCAAACTGGATTTATTTTGCTGGTCACGAATATTCTCAGATAACTAATTCAATAGCTGTACAGGTCGTCGGCTACCTACAGCATGCAACTTTCCAGCAGAACTAAGAGACGAGAAATTTACATTCCTGTCGATAGGCCATCAGCCCCCTCACTTTTTCCCCCCGTTTATGTCTGCTTTGATGGTTAGTTTTAGTGCATCATCTAGGTCCGACGTTAATGTTCATCCAGCAAAATAACCACTTATAAGGTCACCTGTGGCAGGCTTTGGAATTCTCAAGTCCATTAAAACATAGCAAGAAGCTTGTCTATACACCCTTCAAAATTGCTCTCATCCTTGGGTTGTTTAAAACAATATATGGCTCTGCCACGAACCTGGTAAACATTCAAACGAAACGTATTACCGACAGCATTGTATAAAAGAATTTCAAATCTAACAATAAAGTGGTGAAACTTAAGAGGAAGAAAAACAAGCTGAGAGAGGGGTTTATTTTTAAAGATGTAATGTGGGTAAATCCTAACCAACCACGACCTACAATGAATAGTGTTTTGTCCAAAAGAGGAATCAAGCTGGCTTGCAAGAAATCCTGACCCAACTTGAGTCCAGGAAAAGCTCAGGTTTGGGGGGTTTGGTAACTTAAACAACCTAAGATAGTTCAGATGCTCGATATGATACAAATCTATGTAGCTTTTCATTCTAAATCCTGTGAACACATCCTCCCCCTTGTTTTTACACACCAAAATAATTTATTTCTATACAATTTGCCCTCACTAACTCTGTCCATAGACACCTAAACCACCTCAATCTAGAGCCATAAATCTACATCTTCCAAAGATATTGTACAATTCATTGTTCCTTTAAAATTTGAACTTGGATGAATCAAATCTTGATACTATTTCTTCTTTCCCTAATGATAGAGCATATTTTGGTACCACCCAGTTGGCAGCCACCTCAAATCACACATGGTGCCACTCCAGTGAAAGTAGCGCACATATCTCAAAGCAGTACGAAACGACACAGATTGATTCAGGAACGGTTGTGTCCTGAAGCGATGCAATTCAGCTCAAAAGCGACGCTGGTCGGCTTCGAAGCGGCACATAGCGAATCCACGCCGTTCAGAATCAAGCGACGCTTGCCAACAAGGATACAACCTCGCAAGGCATGGGGTCAAGAGGATGGCCTCGGAACAAACAAACCGCCCGCTGGAAAAGTTGGTGGACGCCAACAAGCATAGGGGAGCCGACTTCCTATGAAAGGTATAAAAACCACCCCCAAGTGGATGGCGAGGGGATAGGATTCACTATCCACAAAAACTAATTTAAGTTTCAAGGGGGGCCAAGCAGACAATAGCCTCTCTACTCTCTCATTTACACAGCCAATATTGTTGTCTTCCTCCCCCTCCGCCTTTCGCTGACTTAAGCATCGGAGGGGTTGAGCCGGGAAGCCCCCAGCGCAGACCTGTTGTGAAGGATCACCGGTGGTCAAGAGACGACTCCGCTGCTAGGATGCAGCCTCGCAGCCACGATGTCACGAACGGTCGTCGCGCACTCGCAACAACTCCGTTCAACGAACCGTTCGTCGCTCACACCTACATGTACAGCTGCTTGACAGCATGTTTTCTCTTGGTTTTGGGTCATTTTGCTTGTAAAAATGTAAGTTCGAACAAGCTGCAGCGTTACAAAGCGACAGCTCACTGAACCGAGCAAAACAGCCCCAAAACAGCTCAAAACAGCTCCGTTTTCGCGTGCCGCGGGCTGATTTCTGAAATCTGCCTCCGCTCACCAAAACGTCAGCCATCTAAGCCCCTTTGAACCCCTCGGGTGGCACAGGGCTGGATGGGGCTTCGGATATATACCGGGCGTTGAACTCTCTTTCGCAAGTTCGCACGTGGCCTTTACGGGAACTTGTTGTCGCGCTCGGGACCAGGTGAGCGGCTGTTTGTGGGCTTGCAGCTGTTCGTTCAACCTTCTAAAGCCCTTGTTTTCCCCCTCTCCCTCTTTTCTCTTGTGCACGCAAGGTGCTTGCTGAATTACTTGTAAAGCTTCCCCCTTTCGCGAGACGTCGGGACTTGTCCGCCGCTCGTTCTTTCGAACTAATCAACTTTCTCTTTTTACAGGTCCTTCGGGACCTGCGAGAAGTTACAAGTGGGCTGATCCTTGCGGAGCAATATCGCAAGGGCGAAGCGCGACTTAGGCAACGCAAGCTAAGTTCGCGTCTTTGCCGCAAGGGTGACTCGCGACTTAGGCAACGCAAGCTAAGTTCGCGTCTTTGGCCGCAAGGGTGCCTCACGCCTTAGGCAATTCCAGCTAAGGCCGTGACAACGAGGCAACCCTTCGATCGGAGGACAACCCATCCGTCCGTAGAGAGGACCTCACAATCGAGTAGATCCTGGTTTCTCTACCTGGTTTCACCGCTCCAAGACCATATCAACCCTGGCGAACCACCTCCCTTGCGGACCTCCTACTTCGGTTTGCCACGTTAGCACTCCCACATTAGCACAGTGTAGAGCACAAGGATGAACCTGCACCTTCGGTAGTGAACCAACGGTACCGACTCACCAGTCGACAGTATCAATGATCCGAGGCCTCGACTCCGCTGCCGCTAGGTCGGCCTTGTCCTAGATGAACCGGGTCACGACGGTATTGATGGTCCGTCAGTGCAGGACCACAGACGATCAGGAGACGACTCTACTGCCAAGACACAGCCTCACAGCCACGAGGCAACCCTTCGACCGGAGGACAACCCATTCGTCCGAAGAGAGGACCTCGTAGCCGAGCATATCCTGGTTCCTCTACCTGGTCTCACCGCTCCAAGGCCAGATTGACCCCGACGAACCACCTCCCTTGCGGACCTCCTATGCCAGTTTACCATGTTAGCAATCCCGCATTATCACGGAGGAGAACACAAGGATGAACCTGCACCTTCGATGGTAAACCAACCGTGCCGACTCACCAGTCGATGGTATTGATGATCTATCACCTAATAAATAACGAACATAAGCTTTTTCTTCGTGATATAATTTCTCAAGTTCATATAACCTATACATAATTTTACATTTCAATTTCAAAAGCATTAATCGCAACTCAATTTAAATTATCATTTCTTCAACTTTTACTCCTAAGATGGTATAAATTGGGTACCAATCCTCAAAGCTTTTGTCATTAAATGTTCTATAGTACATTGGATTTTTTGGTCTTGGAATTGTTTCCGTACCTATCTATGATCTTTGCAATGAATCACTCTTCCATATTTTGATTGAGCTAGACAATACCAAATTAACCATCTGATCCAAATTACATTGTGATCTTATTAAGGGTTAAATATGGCTCAGCTTATCATTGTATTCCTATCTCAAGCAAGGAGAACAGCTCTAACCGAGCTAAGCCAACCTAGGCAGCACCCCTAACTGTCTTACCGGAAATTCTGATATTGAAGCAGTCCAAAATTCTAGATTAGGTCCATAGTTCCTAATCAGAAACCTTTATTTGCTTTCTAAATCATTTGGCTGATCTTTTTATAATTGTTCAAAATCCTATTTTATCTAAGATAATGGCCTATGAGACTGTTCTTAGGCATAGGTTGGCTGGGAAAATCAGAACTCATGTTTTTGGAAGATCTGTCTCTTTATATATAGTTTTATTATGTAACATTTCTTTAAAAAGAAAGAAAAGAAAATCTTATACTGTAAAATTCTGCTAATCAGAGCTCTATTTATTATAGTACTGCACCTGAATCTTAATCCATGAGAGGGTGGCTTTTACTATGGCCAGCATGCCTTTTCTTATTTTCTTATCTTTTATCTAGATACAGCTTCCACATTTCTTCCCCCACAGATGCAGTCAATACACAGTTTATTCAATTTCACTTATCTACATGAAAAGCATAAACTCACATGTCAATGGTCTGGTAAACTACGACATCGATTCATTTTGCTATCTTGTTCATAGATGAATGATATAGGCATCGGAAAAATGTACAAGAAATGTCTTTTGCCTTCTATCATAGGGTATGTGATCCCAATAACTTGTATGGTTAACCAGCAAAATTAAAAGTTACATTGATTTCAGCTTCATTTAATTTCTACATAGCTAACAGTTTTAGCATGACCCAATAAGATACCTGATCTATACTTGATTCTTTTCTGCTGTCGCTTACACCACCTTGAGATGCAAGGTTCATTTTTAAATTGCTCTCATCGTTCACAGTTTTTAGCCGATCAGGTGTCTCAAGCTTCACTTGTATTTTCATAGTATTACTTCGTTTCATCTGCAAAACAGATGAGATTTCTGTGTAATTATCAAACGATGGATGTTTGAGCTTGTTGCTGTAACTCATTACCTCTGACTGTCCTGCATAAAAGGACTACAAGAGTATTTCTTCTTTCTGATCCCCATTTTTCAGACCTTGAAAGACTGCTCCTTCGATCTGGATATCCTTATCCTTGTGGAACTTGGATTTCCTCATGGATTTCCTCATAGCAAGAAAAGGAACAGACCCTAGGAAATTACACAATCGCAGAAGCAGACAGAAGAATCGATAGAAATCTTGATCACTTGAGCTGCTGTGCAACAAACGGGAAGCATCCCACGCAATAACTAATCTATTCTCTTGTCATCACCCACAATTTTATCAGGAGAAGTCCTAGCTTTCTTCTTCGCACCGTGGTCCTCTGCTTCTCCGGGCTCCTCCTTCCTCTTCTTATCAAGATTCGCCTGCCCAAACACCTGAAGCCCTCTCGCACCCTTCGCTCTGCAACTCCGCAACAAGATGTTCGCTTCCTCCTCCTTCGCATCCTCATCAAACTTCTTCACCGTAATATACGGAATAATCTTTTCTGAGAATGAAAACTGCACGTCAGCCCCCCTATTGGCTGGATTCTCGTTCTCCTCCCCCTCCTTGCCCTCCTCCTCCCAGCAAGGGAACTCCCGGTACCGGAAATTGATCTTTTTGGGTACGTAGCCCGTGCACCTCCAGAGCTGCGATGAGAAGACCGATGAGAGATCACCAAAGAGGTAGGGGTCGCCGCCGGGGACGCCCTGCACGTGGACGCGGTCCTCGAGAGGGATTCCTGCCCAGAGACGGCGCCGGTGCGGCCCGACGGCCGAAGCGGAGGCCTGCAACGGACGCTCGGGCAGACAGGGTTCGATCTTGGTGGGGAGCTCGGGGAGGAGCCGGGCGACCTCGGTCTCGTCGGCGTCGTCGGGGAGGGTGACCGACCCGGAGGCGAAGCGGAGCCTCCGGGCAGCGGCCTTGCAGTAGTGGCAAGCGAAGGAGGCCTCGCCGCGGACGTAGCCGGAGCAACGGGTATGGACCCACACGCCGCACTCATCGCAGCTCACCATCTCCTCGCCGTCGTCGAAGGTGACGCCGCAGGAGCAATCCACCGTCCACGACCCCTCGCGCCAGTCGTCCGAGGGCTCGGCCACGGGATACCGCTGCGACCACTCCTTCATGACCTTTAGCCTTCAGCCGATTCCGTTTCGCCGGATCGCCAATGGGGAGGAAGGGAAAGGGAGAAATGGAAGATAGGGAAAGAATCGGAGAGCCGAGCCGGTTTCTTATTCTTGGGAGCGCGGATTAGGAGGGATGTTATTGGGTGCAATTTGACGAAGGCGAGTTTCCGTTTCCCCTAGGCGCGTGGATGTTATTAGATGCAATTCGACGAAGGCAAGTTCCCGTTTCCCCTGGGATCCGTGGGTGTTATTAGATGCAATTCGACAGGCAAGTTCCGTTTCCCGTTTCCCCTGAGAGCGTCGATGTTATTAGGTGTAACTTGACGAAGGCAAGTTTCCGGTTCCCTTGGGATCCGTGGATGTTATTAGATGCAAATTCGATGAAGGCAAGTTCCGTTTCCCGTTTCCCCTGAGAGCGTGGATGTCGGAGGCGTTTCAGCAGGCCGGAGTTCGACCGGGGTTCGAAAGTAAACAAAACGCTTCGATGGAACACACTGGACGAGTCATGGAAACCAATTTTGAGAACCATTCAAGAAATGCATATACGTTGAAACAATAAGAAGACTGTCACTTGAGAAGCTGATGATGAAATAGATAAGCTTGACGAAGAACAATAACACTATCACCTGACACTGACATTGACATTGACATTTTGGTTAATGATGACCCATGAGAATCACTGCACAATGCACATGCAATCGCCACAGTTCCAGACGACACACGGTCGGAAGAGAGAACGTTTTAAGCCAAGATGGCGAGGAGGAGGGCGACTCCAAAGCCAATCCAACGCCCCGCTCCTCCGCCGGAGCACCCACTGTCGTAAGGCGTGTTGTCCACCAGCGGATGGCCGTTGAACCCGAACGCCTGGCTTGCCCCGCCGAACGGATGCTGCGGCTGCACCTGGTCGTACATCGTGTTCGACTGCGGCGGCAGCAGCTGTTGCTGGACGCTCGTCGCCGGCTGCCCGAACGGAAGATTCTGATTGTCGCCGCCTATCGGCACGGCGAATGGAGGCGCAGCCGGCGCCATACCGGGAGAGCCGGGCAGGCCGCAGTTCTGGTTCGCGCGCGGGTCGTCGCTCGCCTTCCACGCCAACTCGCCGTCCTTGTCCCGGATGCGCATGTCGCCCTGGTCGACCAGCTCCAGCGTCTCCAGGAAGTTATTGTCGGCGGACTGCGCCCCGGTGTCCCACACCGGGTTGCTGCCGTCGAACACCTGAAGCCCGTAGGCGGTGAATACCGCGGCGCACGTGTTGTCGCTGCTCACGGGGCCGCACTCGGACTCCCACATGCTCCGCTCGGCGCCCGTGTCCTGTACCTGGATGTAGCAGAAGTCGTTGCCCAAGCCGCCGGCGCCTGGGGCGGTCTGGCGGCGGACGAGGCTCGCTGTGTACTTGCCGGAGGGCGAGGTGAGGAAGGGCACGGAGGCCTCGGCCGCATGGGGAGGGATGCTCGCGAGGATCTGCTGCTTGGTCGTCCTTTCGATAGAGCCGGGCACGATGGTGGCTCGTGCGGGCGGTGGGAGGAGGAGGAGGAGGGACGCGAGGAAGAGGGGAAGGAGCGAAGTGCGGGAGTCCATTGCCGCCGGCTCGCTCGGTTGCAAGGCGGTGAAGGTGAGTTGTGATGGGGTTGGACGATGGAGGGAGAGATTTAAAGGCATGGGAAGGAGGATTAGGTGCGACGCAAGTGGTTCTATAATGGGGTTGGACGCGTTCGTTGTGTTTGGTCTCACAACTGATCCAGTAATAAGGGGAGTAGGAGATGATGATGGTATTATTATTATTATTAATATGGCTAAAATTGACGATTGATTGTATTGTCATATGTCAAGCCACTGTCGGGGAAGAAAATTTTCACTATCAATTTTAAAATATATAAATTAATTTAAAATTTTGTATAGCACTAAAAGATATTTTAAATTTTATATAAATTAAACGTAATTTGTAAAAAGGGTGGATAGATAGAGAATGAGAACCGAAGGGAGAGAAAGCTGAAGGAGAGGGGCATAATGCTTTCTTTCTCCCCCAATCCTAATTTTCACTCAGTGCAAACCCTTATTGTTTCATGTGGATCATCAAAAAAACTCAGCCCAGTTTTTGCAGTCCGACCACTTGATCGGATCTCAATTTTATAACTATGCATACGACATATCTTGTATTTTGCTAATTTAGGCAGCGTGATATATTGGCAAAAAACCACAATACAGTACGAAGAACACCATTTATTTACTTGCAAAAAAAGCTAGTATTTAGAAACCGAAGGAAAAAAGGGAAGGCAAATTCAAGTATACATTACTAAAATCTGAATCAGCACTGAGAGAGAGAGAGAGAGAGAGAGAGGAGAAAACAATAAGAAAACCCAAATAAGGCTTGAAATTCGGAAATTGATGCCACAGCAGGAAAACAAAAATCTTACCATAGTAACCTCAAGCGACAATTCTAGCAGGCTATTCATTCTATTTCATACATAAAGTAAAATTCTAAGGAAAAAAAGAAAAAAATTCCACCAAAAACCTTTTCCTTGGGGTACAAGAGGATTCCTAAGGTCACTTCCAGGTCCTGAGCAGCTTCTCATGTTACCCCTTTCTCATAGCCAACAGCTTACATAAACTGAGAAGAACCAAATAATATTTTGTTGACATTTCTTAATATGGGAACAAAGGCGAGCAAAGCTATCTGAAGATGCTCAGAGCTATTCAGACGAATACCGAATTGACTTGTTCCTTTGTTGCTCAGGTTAGCATGACCGATTACATTAGTTCCTCTGCCCAAGGGAAGCTGAGATTGAAGATTGCAGCCAAGTTGGAGGTCTCCATGCCAATCAACAATAGACAGTGCAAGAGTTGAAAGAGCCCGTCCTATAGGATAATCCTTGTCCCTTAAAGTTGCCTCAAGACGGCCTCCATAAGCTACATCACCTCTACCAGCCATTGCACCACCGGTCAGAAGAACTCTGAATCTTTTGCTAATCATCAACTTATCTTCAAACTTTAGGCCAGCTGACACTGAATCCCCAAGTACAGTAACTGAAACTCCTGCGGCTGTGTTGTTACGCCTGATATTTCTAAAACTCGTTTCACCACGTAATGTGTAGGCTATGTCCTTCCCAACAGTCTGCATATCCAGGCATAATGAAGTCGCTTTTGATTCACTATGCTTGATTGAACTTGCCACCTCCGTTTGAAGAGAACATTCCTTCTTATCCTTTGTAAGCTGGCCAGAGACTGACATTGGGATCTTATCTTTGATAACAAACACTCTTTCCACATTCAAGCCTTCATAACCAATATCATGATCCCAGCCCAGGGAATCAAGCACAGGCCTGACAAGCCATTGGTTCGAAGAATCCAGAAACCTATATCGGTGAGTAGGATTATCAGAATCAAAAGAATTGGGAAGAACATAATCTGGCATAGGTACGGGCACAGATGCTGGGCCACTAGTTTCTTCTTCCATATCCCCATTACTGTGCCCACCTTGCATATCCTTGGCCATATCTGCCATTTTCTTCGCAAATTTTCGGTGCCTCTTCTCCTCCTTCAACTGTTTCTTATAAAAGAGCCTTTCCCTGTAATCTAGTTCCTCAAAATATGCCTTCTTCTGTAATTTGCTCAGCTTTGCCAATTGAGATCTGGTGAGAGGCTTAAAAGGTGGCAATTCATCATAATCTGAACCCTCATCAGAATCAGATGTCCCATCCACATCTTCATCCAAGTTGTCATCATCACCAAACTGCTCTCCTGGCAATTTAAGTTGGGGTCTTGACTGGAGAAGAGAGGACAACAGAAAAGGTAACGGAGGAACTCTTGGACGAGAACCAAACAGCTTACCAGGAGGACTATCCTGCAACTTCAGAAGCATGTTGGCCTCGGCCAAAATTTTGGAAGCAAATGAAAGTAGTAACAACTGTGGCTTCCAAACCTGACCATTTGGTAGTACTCTCTGGCCAGCCCTATTCATTCTACAAGCTGAGTGGTTCTCTACCAGGGAAACAGGGTTCATAAGCCGTACATCCCCAGCAGCTTGACGAATTGCTTGCTGAACAACATGAGACCGCTGAGACACAAACGTTTCATAACTCAAAGGACTACCATTTGGACCTTCAGGAGGAGCAGATGCAGCATGTGTCAGAATAACAATTGCATTGAACCAAATGGATGCTCCAAATATGCTGGTGATGGTTCGTAGCAGCGGACCATCCCCATAATCCCTACTCTGCATGTCCAACCGATCAAAGTAAAGAACGATATCTGGAGGAGTTTTATTGATGAACCTCTTGACAGAATGAAGTACTTTCTCATTGCGATGCTGATCTGAACAGGAAGAGACCAGACCAGGTGTGTCAATAATCCTCACCTTGATCCCCTGTACCGTGCCCACTACTTCTTGGACCTTCTTCGTGCCCATCTGGAAGGCATCCGTTGGCAACTTAATCTCATCAACTATAGAATTGATGGTAGCACTCTTGCCTACTCCTGTTTTTCCAATGACCATTATCGTGCAAGAGAAGTCCAAGGTCTCCCGACCAGCAGCCTCAAGTTGCTCTGCCATAACACTAGCTCGATCAAAGCTGAATACACCTGGTCTGTTTGTGTTTCTCTTAAGTTGTTCGGCCAGACCTAACCTGTATAAAACCTGTGCAACTACCACATTGTGGGGTGTTTGCCCAAGCCTATGAGCCAAACGGAGAAACTTAACCCGGATCATTTGGAGCTTTTCATGTGTCTCATCATTCACCTCTCCATCGTCAGCAGGTGGCTCTTCAGATGGCTGAGATAACCTCCAGGGAGCAGAGCCATTAGCCTTGGGTTGCTGAAGAGAACGACCAGAAGGCTCCAATAAAGGAACAGAGGAGCCAAGGCCAGCAGGACGAGACAAGAAACCAGGATGCCCCAAATTTTCAGGATTTGGGATAGAAGGTGTTGGTGATGGTGATGGACTAGCATTCTTCTTGTTGTCATCAATTATAGAACTTGAACAGCTTAAAATTTCAACAGATTCTATTTGAAGTTTTTTGGTGGTTACATGGATATCTGCCTTGTCTTCTTTTAGTGGACCATTAGCTGTATTGGGGACATGAGAGCAGGATGATCCATCTTTTTCCAAAATAGCATGTCCGTTAGTTGCAACACCGCCATCTTCCTTTTTCACAGAAGCGTGTCCATTCCTTGGTGCAAAACCATCATCAGGTTCAGCACTATTTTCTTTCAGCTGCTGAAATTTTACTGGCTCTTCAGAAACAGCTACTGATTGAGCTGTTATGTCCATCTGTTGTCGCCCATTTTGATGAACAAACTGTTCATTTGATTCAGTGTCATTATTTTTCCCACACTCATCAGAAGTTACTTCAAGGGACTCTCCATTTTCAGGACCTTCATGAGGAAGACCATCTGGCCTATCTAATTTCATCCTCTCGATCTCTTCGAACTTGAACTTGTTTCCAGCAAATTCCTTAATACCATCCCCAACAGTTAATTCCTTGTCATCCACAATAAAAGAAGATCCATTTGTAACTTCACCCATCCCACCTGCAGCCTCACTACTTGAAATAGGATAATTTGATTGAATAGACATGGGTTCTTGCACATCTTCCGGTTTGCTGCACGCACAGTCACATTCATCACAAGTTCTGGTCCCTTCCTCAGATACAACCACTACATGTTCTTCAAAATTCTGATTGATATTTTGACAATCAATTGATGCATCCAACTTACCAGAAACAATGACTTCTACTCCTTCGTTTTCTTCTTCTTGTTCTTCCTTCTCCTCATCTTCTTGTTCATGTCTCTGAAACAGCTGAGTTGATGTGTCCAACTTTTCTTCCTCTTCTCCCTCTTGAACTTCTACTTCAGCACCATAAAACTTTTCGACAATCATTTCTTCTTCATTAAGCTCCCTCTCATGCACCACGGTCTGTAGATCTCGCGACTCAATGGACAGTCCTAATTCAGTCGCTGCTCCATCCTCAACTCCACTCGCCACACCAGAATCGGGAAGAAAATGCTGCGGCGGCGGCTCTAAGGCCTCCTCAAAGACCTCGATTTCTTTATAAAACTTCGATCCATCCTCAGTTTCCTGAGAATCACATTCGACGCCCCCATCAAATCCGCCCCGCGAATCCCCATTTGCCGCTGCCATCCTCACGTCCCCCGACGTGCACTCCTCTTTGGCGGCGTCCGCCCAGTTCCCTGGGAACCTAGCGATCCACGCCCGAAGAGAACGAATCAAGACGCGTAGCTTCTGAATAAGAACGAAATCGAGACCAAGAACTTTGGACCCAAACCCAACCAGCACCAAGCTCTAGGGTTCCAAACAAATCGAGAAATCAGAAAATAGAGATGAACCGAAGTGCAAACCTCGCGAATGGAGATCACACACCGGGCGAAGGGCAGCGGAGACCTGACTCTTTCTTCGCCCAGATCTCTTGATCGAGCAAACTCTTGAAAGAAATTACTAGGAGACGAGAGAGGGAAGGGGAGAAAGCGAAAGGAGGTAAAGGAAAGAGACGATACCGAAAGGTGGTAGGAGGAAGAGGAGCGAGGGAGGGAGGTTGGCGTCGAGCAAAGGGCGTCGCTTTTGACGGACGGGGGAGCGCTTTGGTTGTCTTTGGATGATACATCGTCACGTGCTTCCTACGTCGGGAAACTGATTTCTGGACCCCCGTGAGAATCGTGAGACCGAAGCAGTCTCCACGAATAATAATTTGCATCGTTAATATTATTTAAATATGAGCGAATTTTAAAAAAACCTATCTTTCAAAATTTGCAATCCAAATTTCAAAAATTCAGACATGGCACTTTTTCTTGTTTTCTCTAAGCGTTCTAATCGTCATGTACCATCTCCCTTCCCCTCTATCTTATTAGATCTATGATGGTTGTAATAGATGATAACAATTCGACGTAAGACTATCATCGTAACATCCTCACATTTTTCATATGAGACTGACACAAGACCAATGAAACAGAGGAGATGAACGACAATGCAAAGCAGAACCAATAATTGATTCGACGAAAACATGGGTAAATATCTTTCGAGCGAAAGGGGATGCTCCATGAAAATTTTGAAAGTTGAAAGACAAATTTATTAAGGATAGAGATTTTTTAAAAAAAATTCAACCTTTAAATATCTTTTTACTTCTTGTTCAATTATTTAGAAAATAAGGATACAATTGTCCTATGGTTCAATAAATAACCAGGTAGATTAATCAATCCAATCCAATTATTTTACCATTTTTGACCTTTAAATGAAATCAAACCGCTCAACCAACCCGATAGATCGGGTTCCATTCTAATAATTAAGATCGAGATTAATCTGGTCCAATCCAATTGGTCTGTTTTTTATCATCTCTACAGAGAGAAGAAAATGCAGCCAAAGAATAATTATCAAATATTAGATCGAGAAAGATAGTATACATAATTTATCATCGTTTTGAACCATCCTCGCCCATCGTGTCTCGCAGAAGACCTCATTTGGTCTTTTGATATGAATAATATCATTTATCACACTATAAAAAATGTACATCAATTTACATACATTCTTATACTTTGCCGACATCAGTAGACAGAAAAACTCATGTGGTTGATATTTTCTTTTCTTTTTTGTCACAGTGAAATTATATTGCCGGTATGGTTTAAATAAGATCCACCCATTACCATCCTTTTTCCTCCTATCTTATTCTTATGAGACGCATCAGGAAAAAAGAGGCATATACTAAGTCTAAAACACAGCTTAATCTTAGCAATGTCTTTAAAAAGGCAACAATAATATTCAAGGGAAGCTGATTTCTCAACTTAAATATGAGTGGCTTAATATTTACAAATCAACTCCATGAATTGTGTGATGACTTACCTTTTCTTTCATCTCCTCTTGTCATGCTGGGGAAAATTTTACTTGTTTCTTTCCTTTCTTCTTCTTCTGTTCCCTGCCAAAATAAATAAATAAATAAATAGCCCATGAACATAGAGATAGAGAAAGCCAAATCAAAGTTTATACTGTCCCTCATCTGACCCGTATCGGCGAAAGCCTCAAGTGTTAAGTTGTCCTTTTCTTATTGTTATTGCAAATCCATAAGAACAAACCTGTCCTAAATTGTTTCTGCTTATATTACAGAATCATAAGAACCAAATTGTTATAATCACTATCATCATTTAATAATTTGAATCAGCTGTCAAACATTAGCAAATTGACAGAGTATATGGAAAGGAGGCAGAGTAACAAAAGAAGCTGTTTCTCCTGCATCAGCTTATTAATGCATTATGAGTATACAATTAACATTGTACTTAGTAGTACTTACCATCTCACAAATAGAAGTATCAACATCAGTGGTGCCCATGAGTTGCGGCCATGGTAGAGAGGTGCGCATTGCAGCATTGTAGCAAGTCAATTCAGCCTTGCACAAGCTTTGGCATTTGTCCTCAGCTGGCATGGGAACAGAGAAACATAGAATGGCATTGCATGACCTGTGCTTAGGTTGGCATTACATGAACAGTAAAGCATAGACTTCTTTTCATTAAAAAGAAGAAACTAATCCAACTGATATGTGGAGATTTCGTATAGGCGTAGACTGGTTATGCTAATGATTCTCTTCTTTTTCTCCTCAAGTTTTTGAAAAAAGACAGGTTACTGATAGAGGACAATTTGTTTAGATGGGATTTCAAGGAGGGAATTTTTTTGTACTACTGACAAATGTGCAACTCAAAGGTGTCTAATTTTGAGTAGCAAAATCTTCCGAATTGTTAATAGTGCAAAGCCTAATGCCTTTAGAAAAAAGAAACTGTCTAAAACACTAATTAAGAGTTTGAGTTTGCATATTCATGAATACATTTTAACAGCCTCATCCTGCATTTATGTCTCTAGCAAAAAGGATACCTGGCAATCCAATCTTTGGATGTGATACCAGAATATGACAGAGGCACAGATCACTTAATTTATCTGACCACTGGTCAAAGTTCTTCTGGATGGTTGTGTAGCCACCGGTGCACGAAGATGGATGGAAGGTTTGCTAAACACACTATAGGTTACAGTTTCATGCAAAAGTATTTGCACTGAAATGTACATACATGGTCAAAGAAAGCAGTGCTTGAGTTCTCTAAACACTACGTTAATTGCAATAACAACAATACTGTCACACTATTTAGAGCCAAAAGACATGTTGGACACTCATACAAGAAAGCATATTGACACTGAAACGATTAAATTGAGCATTTCTTAGGTGTTCATTGGTTGTTTACTACCACGGAGCAAGTGTTCATTGGTTGTTTACTACCACGGAGCAAATCCAAATGCCTTACAGACTGCAATAACAACAACATTTTCACGCCATCTAAATTTGAAGCCTCTAACATGTTCATGGTCACTGGATTAGCCAATCCTAATCAGATCTGACTGAGGGAATAAGAGGGAAAGAAAGGCCCATCAACTAATATATTCTAGACCATGGATCCAAGAACCCTCTAACTTAAATTAACTCAACACGTTAGCTCTGAATCAAGATCATCCAGCAACTAAAAATGAAGTATATTGTATATCCTAGCCTTTACCTAATAGATCAATAGTTTAAAATGGTATGATGCTAAGCTTAAAGTTCTGCTCAATGTACACCTCAATTAAAACTTTAACAGTGATCAATATAAAGAATAAAATGGAAAAGACATACAATCCAAGCTATGTCACCTCAAAAATGATTTCTGTTAACAGACCTAGATGCTATGACGGTTGCATATAAACTATCATATTAAATTGATATGAAATCATAAGAAGAGTCCAAAACATGACATAGACGCACAGATAAATGGTTAGCAGTGCGGGGTTAGGACTTATGAGATGGTACCTAACGGACAATGCTGAAGCAAGTTAGTCGATCCACCAACCAGAAGTTCTCTTAAAGAATGACCAAAATGCATTGACTAATGTCGGAAACAAAAGTGATACAACTCCAACTTTGCCATTTGTTCAGAAGATCCTGAAATCCAAAAGGAAGAGAGTGGTGCTACTTTGGGCACGTAACAGCAAGACAATATGCTCGTTTAGAGCCAAGTACTCCACGACACACGGTCTCTCCAGATAGTATCTGTAAGGTGCAAAACCCTTCGACCTCCCACCAGATCCTCGCATTTGGACTACACATCAATGACAGAACTCACGACGATGGCATTCGGGCTGAAATGGATCCTCAGCAAACGAACATGGATCTGCTTTGCATGTTTCACAGAAGCACTGCTGAAAGTGAGCTGATCCAGCACAGAGATTTGAATGGGTAAGCACAGGGCGTGCAAACTCTAATCAGGGCAGTCCACGAGGCGGAATTCTCCTCCGGCATTTCATCAAACATTCTACGTGCAGAAACTAGGCCACCGCCGCTCGCAGAGCCCATGAAACTGGTTATGAAAGAACATCTCCGATAGGCATATCATCAAACAGCTTCCTTGGATCATCCACAAACCTACATTTCACATATGCATCGACAAGCGAGCTGGAGATGATGAGTTTGGCCGAGAACCCGATAAGCAACACCCGGGCACGGGCCTGCCGGACGAGTGGCGGTCCCCCGAGCCGTTGAAACCGAGAGGAGCTGTGAAGCAGGGAACGGAACTGCACCAACCGGCGCGGGCGCGGATCATGGTGTTCCCGGAGACGACGTCGCGATGGGGCACGCGGTCGACGGGTCGGCTGGCTCTCTCCGATTGCAATCTCGAGTCCTAAGCAATCGCGGATCGGGTTGCATTCGGGTTTGGTCAGACGGGTAACAGGTTGAGTCAAATGATCGATAACCTCCAGTGTTAAATTAATAATTTTAAGATTAATTGTTTTTTACACTCATAAAAGGGGAATATTTAATCAGCAATAAAAGAATATGTCATGAGATAATAATTATGAGGTCAATTGGAGTGCCATCATCATACTTATCCAAATGTACTTGGTGTTTAATTTGTGCTCTGAGGTCAATTGGATTGCCATCATCATACTTATCCAATTGGCTTGTCCATTTTCAACCCATGACATGACTCACCACTTTTCCCCCTTATCCGCTTCGAGGTCCGAGGATTCTAAAAGTAAATATCAATAGCAAGGATTTTGGGTTTTATTGGTGGCTCAAAATCGTATTAGTAATGATATCCGATTTAATCTCGTATTTTAGAATATAATAAGATTTTAATTGATTTAGGATTGGATAGATATAATACTATTAATTCTGATTTAAGCATTTTTAGTTAGCTCTAATTCAACAAAGTTAATAGATCAATTATTATATCAAATAAAAAAATAATAATTGGAATAGGCTACTAATAAATAATATCAAATGACACGTAGATGTGGAGTTAGACTATGTATCGTACGTATCATGTTAGGCTTTAGTTATGGTTTATATCAGGTCTTGAACGTCATATATTTGAATATGAGAAATTATAACATGTCGATTTAATCTCACACTAAAAGTATTTTAAAATTTAAATTAATTTATAAATAGCATACTACTATGAATTTGGATTTAAACATTTTAATCTAGGAGTTTAAGTCCAGTAAAATTAATATAAATTATATCATCAAATCATATCATCACATAATATCTCATAAAAGTTAGTGATTTTGGTATTCAATAATTTTAAATTTAAATTCAAGTTATCCTTATATAATGTAAATTCAATCGTAGTTAATCTCCATCATGACCATAAGAATTGAAAACTTCAATTAATGTTAATGCCATCAAAAAATACCAAAATTGTTTTCATATATGTTCCTTTAAATTTAATTTTGAGGAAATGAATAATCAAATAATCAATGAAAATAATAATGGGTCTTTTAGGTATTTAAAATTTTAACCTAGCCCATGATGAGTAGTTATTAACCTAAGTTTTTTTTAACGAGAGATATATTGATTTAAGGATTAAATAAAAAAAATGAGTTCGTGAATCTTTCTCATTTTTTTTTTCTCTCCCACCCATAATGATGATGAGATCTTATAGTGGGAGCAACCACCCCTCCCCCTTAATGACTATGAGAACTCATAGTGGGAATAAGAGGCGAAAGTAATGGACGATGAAAAATATTGGTGATGATGATGACAACAGAGGAGGAGGAACAATTTGGATATTCTTTGAATTAGAGATATTATTCAAAAAAATGAGAAAATTATTTTTTAAAAATATATATTATATATATATGATGAATTTTCATAAAAGCCCTTAACTTTTGATATCTCTAATATTTATTTTAAAAAAAGGTCACCGCCCTTCATTGCTCCTGGCCATGCTTTGGTCCTATCGACCACTCCTCTCTGTCATGCAATTAGTCACCCATGTGCTTAGTAGCCTTGTCCATTAGCTCTTATCATGGTCAATCGTAATTATAGTGTCGATAATTATCGATAATGGAGGAGAGAGATGAGTTTAGAAAGAGAGAAGGCGATGATGGGTTTAACGTTGGTTGCAAAGATGATTGTAACCCTTGCATCCCGTCCTACCTCACAAAGTTCAATAAGTTGAACGATCAAGCAGAGAAAACACGACTAAGGTTAAGACGATAGATTAAAATTTTTTTTAATTATGAGGGTAAAATAATCTTTTTATACAGTTTGAAATACTCAATAAAATTTTTTTAAGATTAAGACACCTGGTAAAAAATTCTTAAAGAGATATAGTTATATATATATATATATATATATATATATATATATATATATATATATATATATATATATATATATATATTCACTTGCTCAATGGGGCAGCAGTTGTCAAAGAAGGCTGCTGTTGCACATCATTACAATAAACATAGGAACAAAAGAAACAGTACAAGAGACTGTTCGACATTGACTTGCGCTTCACATCCACACTAGGCCAAAGTTGTTTAACGTATTCCTCCTCTTCCCCACCTCCTATAATAGAGCGACTCCCCCTTTCCCCGCCCCAACAAACAGCCACCTTCTCTCTCTCGCCATGTCGCCGCCCTCCTCCTTCGCCTCTTCCCAATTCCTCGGCCTCCTCGTCACCCCGCCTCCCCGTTCCTCCGCCGCCTCGCTCTCGCCTCCTTCCCCCTCCACCCTCCGCTCCTCTGGCGTCTCCGCTGCCTATGCTGGCGCGGCCGAGCGGGCGCGCGCCGCTTCCCTCTCACCCTCCTCCTCCTCCCTTTACGATACCCTCGGCGTCTCCCCTGGCGCTAGCGGCCAGGAGATCAAGACCTCGTACCGCCGCTTGGCGCTCGAGTGCCATCCGGACGTGGTCGCCACCGGCCGCAGGGGTGCCTCCGCGGACGAGTTCATGCGGGTCCATGCCGCCTACGCCACCCTTTCCGACCCGGTCAAGCGCGCCTACTACGACCGCGAACTGACGGCCGCGGCCGCGATCCTCGTCCACCACCGCCGTTCGGAACCGGCACCGTCGCCGTCGCCGTCGCCCCTGGCGTACGCGCGCTGCACGTCGTACCCCGGATACGGTCGCCGAACATGGGAGACCGACCAGTGCTGGTAGAAGTCGAGACGGGCCGGTCGGTTTGATCCCAAATAAGGAGACCGTCCGATAAAATTTGGACGGCCCTGATCTGAGCCTTATGCTAATACTCCACTCCGGGGCAATGTGAACGAAGCTTTTATTATGATCCAAAGCTTCCACGGCCACACCTACTGATCTTGCTTGTCTCTGATATGCTGCTGCTTGTAAGGTTTTGCAACTTCATCCTCCTTGTGATTTGTTTACTTACTATGAGTGAAGGAAAGTAGAAATCTCAATCGCACTTAGATTTGCACTATGTTGTTGGTGTTTTATTGCTGTCAGGTATTTACTTTGACTGGTGCTTTACAAGTAAATTTTGCTGTGCTGTTGGTGCATCTTCTTGGACTAGGATTATCATAGATCTTTTAATCAGAGTTAGTAAGTAGGACTTGTTTAGATAAAATGGTAGAGTGATGCATCTTGGAGCATCTAGTTGTAATCTGCAAGATACTTAGCTCAGCAAAACTGGAAGGTTATGGGGCCAGGTGCAGATGGTTGTGCAAGTGGGATTTAAGAGTACATCAACTGACTGCTTGATCACAAAGGACAGATTGATATGAGGTTATATTTGTGTTGAGACTAATGAACTGAACGAATCTAGGATACTTTGGTATCCATTTGCTAAGGAAATTTAAATTATTTTCTACTATAAAAGAGAATAAGTCATGTGATAAGCAAAACGATGAATGAGGTAATCGGCTGATATATGAGTGCCAGAGGGATGATGATGCAAAACACTTTCGTTTCATAATTTGGTTCATGAACTTCTTTTCTAGCAATGTCTACGAAGGCTTCAAATTGCTTTCTGATCTTGTGCTAGGATCTGCTCCAGTTTTATGTTTAAGATTATGAGAGATAAGATCATTAACTTGAAGGGAGGTGTTCACTGAAAAAAAATCATTCAGTGAGCGAAGCAAATTTATATATGTGATGTGAAATTCTCACTGTTTACTTTAATTTATCAAAACAAATGAATGAATATGAGGTTCGAGATTGATTCCTTCTTATTGATTCTTTCAGGTATTGCATGCATCATAACCTGCTCCAATCTAGAATAGGCTTTCCACCAAGCGCTGAATTTACCCAACATACAGGTAGCATCCACTGAAAATAAAGAGTAGCACTAAATTATGATGACATAGGTAGTAGTCATTGGATTTGTTGTGGATGATCACATCATGTGTTAGTTTTGTCAACAAATCTGCATCGAGGGTAGTGCCTATCTACTTGAGGGGATAATTAATGTTGTGATATAGAATTTTCTTTCATTTGTAAGATTGACATGATTGCCCCTTGAGTTGAGTTGAGTTTTGATGCCCAAGTTGCATATAAGTTTTCAAAAGTAGCTAATAATTGGATAGCAATTGATACAATGTTGAAATCTGTTCATAAATTCTATGTGATATATGCTTTTAGTATAGAGACAAAAGAGATAAAGAAGTGACTATTTTTTGCAAATTAGTTTAATATCTAACATGAACAGTTGTCAATTTAATATTTTTGAAAATTAAAATTTATTATTACAATCATAGTCACAGGTCCATTCTTCCGAAATAAAAAGTTCAAGAGTGAATACTCCTTTTATAGACCTACTAATATTTCATAAGGGAATAGCGCCCACTCAAGCGAAAAATCTGAAAATTGGTATAAGCTCCACAACTTCAGCTTAAAAAAAATTTCTGAAAACAGAAATACTAGGAGACAAATATGGTATTAGATTCTAATATATTTTATGACATCAGAAATAACCTTGGAGTAAATAGATAGACGATAATAGAAGTTGGAATTTTATTAGCTGCAGTAAGGATGCAAATAATTTTATCCTTTGTTGGCTGTAGAATACGTTTCATCCTCATGGCACCTCTGTTATTCTTTGACCATGTCTTCATAAATTTGAACATCACTGTTGGTAGTTGGAAGGATGCAATTAAAGTCTTAAGTTCTATTCTATTTGTTTGCTTACCAACAGGAAGGAGGAAGATAATGGAAGAGAAGGCCTATTCTAGAACAAGTTGTGGATGACGATGAGGTGGAACAAATTGTGGAGGACGATGAGGAGGAGAATGGAGGGAGGAGGAGCAATATCCTCACTTTGGGAGAGAGAAGGATGATAAATAAGCACTGTCAACAGTACTGCCCAGTCCTTGGACCTCAGAGACTGAAAAAAAAAAAAGAAAAGGGAGCTAACAAGATGAGGCAGGACCTCAGAGCATTGATTTGGAGACTTGGCATATCATTATCAACACATGTTGGACTTGAGCACAAACCAACATAACCATAGTTGTTGGGAGGGTGAAGTGGGGACTACTTTTGCTTCAGGTCTCTGTTGAGTGGAGTGACTTTGGGTTGCAATGTTGATAAGAATTGGCAGTGACCTCGGTCTCTTTTATTTTAGATGTGGATGTGTAGTGGGTAATCCATCAACCTCTCCTAATTGGGGGCATTGAAAGTTTCTAAGCTTCTAGATGATGGCCCGAAATAATTGTAGGTTATATCTGATGGCCAAACTTGGTAGTGCACATGGACCAGGTGCAAGAGAAGAAACAACAATGATAGAGGCAACCGAGAAGGAGATGTGAAAGTTCTGTGCCAAGTTGCCTTATGTCAGATGTGGGACATGGTGGGGACAGCATGTAGGACACAAATCTCCTGCAATTTTATTTGTGGAGAAGAAGACAATGGTGAATGACAATTAGAAAAATACGAGCCGACATCGATAGAAAATTTTGACATGCAAGTTACATATTTATTGACTCTGTAAAGCCAAGTCTAGCTGATCATCTTTTGTGTCTCCTGTGCATGCAAGTATTCTGTTGTATGATTACATCAGCTGTTCTAATCATACAACAGAGAACTTGCATGGCTTCCCTTTCCTACTCATTTCGGTTGTTGATAAGAGTCAAATGCTGATAAAACTGCAATCCAAGTAGGATATCCACTCAAGCTTGTACTGCATATCTGATGATGTTTTCTCCCATTTTGATGCTTCCATCATCATTCATGTGTTCACCACAGTTGATTGCTTATTCTTATGTAAGCATTGTTCAATTACAAATAGTCTTATTTTGATGATGTTCTGAGATGCAGCAAAGTTACCAAATTCCATCACTGAAATTTATGGTTGAAATTTTCAATCACTACACAGTATTGAATCCTGAAACCAAATATCATTATAGATGATCGTTTGCAGCTAAAATTTCTCATTTTCTTATTTCATCTTTCTGATGTGGTATTATTGTATCACCCAGCTTTCCTGACCTAGTCCAGAGAGGTACTTTTAACTTCCTACTTGAAGGAGTGGTGCAGAGTATTAATGCAGTTCAAGAATCTTCGTGGCCACCCTTTGGATTTTTCTATATTTCACTTTTTGGCACACCAATAAAATTGATTATGATAAAAGATCATAATATACACAAATGTGAAATTATAATTTTTATATTTCTTACATGTTTTATATTTACCAATTGAAAATAGTCAATTTTGATTATTAGTTTTTTTAATTTAGATAATTTTGATTTCGATTTCGATTCTGATTCAACGCAATTGATTTGATTAAAATCGAACCAAACCATCCAAGCTTGATTCTAAACCGATGAGACCGGTTCGGTTTTAATTTCAACTTATATTATTCAATGCCTAATAACGTTGGCTTTCAAGTTTCAACTATTTCCATCATTATCCGCTTGAGCGAGTTGGGACTAATCTCCACCGTCATCTTAATGTGGTGGTGTCCCACTTACAATACAGGACACGTAGGACCAACTACATATGTCTATAATTGACTTCATGAAGAATCAATTCAGCCATAGTTGGTTGGAGTCACTTGCTAATTGTTCCCACAATACTTATTAGAACCAGTATTTGTTGAATATACATACATTGTATCGACCAAATTATTATATTACTGTAACTCGACCGATTTGGTCCACGCGACATGAAACCCCCACCTTCATAAAGAGAATTCGTCCATCCAATACGTCAATCTCGAACATATTATGGTCGAGATAATTACGTAGTTATATTTATAACAAAAAATTATAATTAATTACTCTTAATATGACTAATTTCCTGCACTTGCAACGCAATCCCTGACGTCAAACCGGCCTGCAATTTTTAGGGGCGAACGATGGCCGTCGCGTCGTCAAATCTTAAGCCCCACGTCGACACACGCCAAGCTCTTGATGAATCCAAAGGCGGGGGGGGGCGGCTGCGTTTGCGTTGGCTCGCACCCGCGACCGCGTGTCCATAAATACGCTCGAACCCGAAAGCATTCCATCGTCTGTGCACAGCCGTTCCTCCTCGCTCCCTCCTCCGATGGCATCAATCGCGAGGTACGTGGTACCATACGTCCCCTCCTCTCTCTCTCTCTCTCTCTCTCTCTCTCTCTCTCT